GGGAGGGCGGCCGGAAGGGAGGGCGGCGAGCCCCGGCGGGGGCTCGGCTCTCCCCCCCCCACCCGGCGGCCAGAGCGGCCGGCGGCCGGGACGAGGGCGGGGGGGGGTTGGGGGCGGCCAGAGCGCCGGGGGGAGGGCGGCGAGCCCGGCTGTGGCCCCGCGCTCCCCGGCGGCCGGAGCGCCGCGCCGCCCCCCTCCAGGTGCCGCCCCAAGCACCAGCTTGGGTGCCTGGAGCCAGCCCTGGGGTTACCTGAGCTGTTGACCTGACCTCACCTTTAGCCTATATCATAACAATTAGATACAACTGTAAATAACTTCGTTACATCCTAATTTCTTCAAATAACCTATTCAAAAGATATCAATTTTATCTATATGGAAATTTGAAAAGTATACATTATTTCGTTATTAAAATTGTTTGGAACAAAACAAAGATTGACATGCTAAATTTCTTAAGCAACTCATTTTTTGATTATAATATAAGGCTAGATTTACTTATAAATTCTCAGAAAATTAATTCTATACCCAAGATAGACTGTATCTTTCATATGTAACAGAGAGGTTGAATCCTTGCTTTATGTGCAAAATGGAAACCAGCCTGAACAGAGTCATAGCCAGCACCTCCATAATTACTACTATTCTGAAAGTCATTTTAAGCAGCATTCCATGATGTGACTGCCACCAATATGGATAAATGAGAACAATCAACATCCCATATACCAACCTGTTAATCCTTTTACAGTAGGGACTTCGTGGTCCTGCAGGGCTAAAAGGATATCTTCGTCTCACAGGAGAGGATGGACCATTATAAAATAGGTTGGGCTTTCTTTGGTGCCTTGGCTCTATTAAAAGCAAAAAAGTTTAATTTAGGATAGTTCTAGTAGATCTTTAAATCAGAGTACATAACACAAAGAGCAGGAAACAAGTGAAATATTATCGGACAGATGAAAGTCATAACTAGGAATTACATTGACAAAAGCAATGTATGCCAAATTTGTTTAGATTTAAGAAAAGTCATAAAAACACTGTTTTCAACTACTTTTTAAATGTAAAACTGAAAACTGGTTGGCAAGTCGTTTTTATTTGTTACTGTTCCTTCAGGAGTATTTAGGGTGACTTTCTTAATGAAGATTTTTAGACCAAGATCAGGAAACAGCAGGCATTCATTTGTAATTTATTAGAAGCTTATAAAATAAATATGAAGAGTAATCGTGTTGTAAACAGGAACTAACTAAATATATAGGTTGAATTATGCAGTGATCTTAAACCACAAGATCTTTTGTAAGTTAACACGATGGAAGCCAATACTGAACAGATAATACAGTATTTAAATCCTTTTGGGAAAAACCGTGTATCACAGGATTCAAGGACACAGAGTGGTGTGCTACTAGCCTGTTGAGCACAAAACAGTGGAGAAGATGCAGGGGAGATTAAAGAGGCCAGATCTCTCTGAAGAAAGGAGGGAAAGCTAAGAAAATGAAAGTTTGTTTTGCCAAAGATGGTGTTTATGTAGCCTCTAACCACAGACAAGAAACAAGGCTACCAGAAGGGGGGGGGGAGAGGGAGGAAGAAAAAAAAAAAAAAAAAAGGATATATACAACCTACTTTCCAATGGGGCTTGGTAGCGTACAACAGTTTTCCTCTGTCTAAGGTCATAGCGCTTTTGATTATCTTCTCCATCCTCATCTTCCTGGTCTTCAGCTTCTTCTTCAGATGACTCTATAATTGTAAATTACACTTACCCTTAGTTTAATGGAAAACAACAGAGTCTTAATTCATTGATTACATATACCATGAATACCACCAACCATATTTAACATTCATAATAAACCTAGCTAACTGATATAATAGAAATGCCCTCTGTATTCTGCAATGTTGAGGTTCAGAAGCCCTTTCTGTTTAAAGGATGACTCTTCCAAGTGCTCTAAAATCCTCATGCTTATTCAGATTGCATTGAAATTTGGTGTGCCTCATAGGGGTGCTGGGTAGAGTGAGTGATGCAAATATGGGGTCATTTGAGCACAGGGTTCCCAAGATGCAGTTTTTGGTGGGAAGCTGTATTTCTTAAGGTTGAGACACTACCAACTTTTTTGGCACATTCCTGGTGGTCAAACCAAGGATCTGATCATCGCCCAAATGGTCTCAATCATTTGACTGTTATTCCAGATAGTGCATGGCACCAACTACCCCTTTGGAGAAGCAACACTGAAAATGTTAAGGAAAGGGTTTAGCTCTCTAGCTTAGTATGTACTAAAAACATACATTACATGGACATGTGCAGAAAGACTACCCAAGAGAATTTCCAGCCAGACAGTGTCACGTGACCTGGATGGCTCAAGGGGACATGCTGTGGCCATGAAATCTGAATTACACTGAGGCAACTTAAGTTTGAAACCCCTTCTTTGCAGAAATCTGAGAAAACTATAGGCACGTTACTAAATCTGCCTGTCAAGGGCTTTTATTTTGGGGAAATGTAAACTGAGTACAACAGATAATTCAGAAGGCAGTCAAACTAATTTTCAAAAGAAAAATAAAATTACATATGTGAATGCTATTCTGGGAAGTTGGGGAGAAAGGTTTGGGGGATTATGAGAAAAAAAGGGGCTGGGTCTCAGGCAGATTGGGAGGGTGAGATGGGGTGGGTGGCCAGCCAACACACACCACATTCTCCCCTCCCAGGTGCGTGTCAGGATCTTGGAGGGAGGGGGACCTGATCCTATGGGTGGGTTGGAGCTCCTCTCCCTGCCATCTACACAGGCTCTCAGGGCTATGCCTTTCTAAGGGGATCAGAGGTCCTCTCCTTTCCTCCTGTGTGTGTGCTGGGATTTAGGGAGTTCCTAAAAGTAGATCAAATTAAACTTCTGAAAAGCAGTGAATGAAGAGTTAAGGACATGCCATCCCCACATGGGGTAGAGGGGCTGGCCAAAGTGTGGGAGAAAGCAGCCAGCTTGGAGGGGGGGGGGCAGACTGGGTGGGCCTGGGGCATGGCCAGGAAGGCCTGGCTGCAACAGGGGTGAGGATCCTGGCTGGGGTGGGACATAGTTGGGGCTTGGGGCCTAACACAGTGTGCAGCTTGACTTATCTAACCAGGTAGCACACAAGCCTCCAGTGAGCTGCTGCCAGTGATCCGTATGTATCAGCAGAGGGCACCAGACAACAAGGAGCAACTTTTTATGTGCTAACAGCTTAATGGGATGGAAAGGGAAGGCTGAGCAGAGCTGAAAAGGCTGGCAAGGAGGCTATATGATACGGGAAGGGAGAGAAGAACAACGCCATGGCAGTCTTCTCATGCTCTTTAAGTTACTTTTACCAACATAAAAATAAAAAATGTCAAGACGTTGAGAAACAGATTATGTCTGATTTCTCTCTGACCTGTAAGCACCTCCACCCTCCAAACATTTCAAAGCACAACCATTATACCATTCCACTATAACAAACTGAACAGGAGGTGGGAAGAGCCATTCAGGAATCACATACCATTGTTTATCCTTTGCTAGCCACAGTAGCACCTCAACTGCAAACATAGGTGAGAACTACAACTGCCTAAATGACCACTAACTCCTACAAAACACACTTTTCTTTCAGTTAAACAAAAAAAGAACCTAGGAAATTCACTGACAAAAAACTTGGTTAATGAATAGTTAAGGTTGCCTGTAGTATTTTGTGTCCTTCCAGAATGTTAAGTTCAGCAAAAAACTCAAACCTCTGAAAAAGCAGGAAATACAAAGTTAAAGGTACAGGACAATACAACCTTAACTTCGCCCTTTTTAAGCAATGCCCCAATATGCCCATAACACATTCACCTCTACCCCGATATAACATGAATTCGGATATAATGCGGTAAAGCAGTGCTCCAGGGGGGCGGGGCTGCGTACTGCGGCGGATCAAAGCAAGTTCGATATAACGCGGTTTCACCTATAACACGGTAAGATTTTTTTGGCTCCCGAGGACAGTGTTATATCGGGGTAGAGGTGTACTTACACACTGCCTTTATAAATATTGCAAAACACTCACGTAATAGGACATGTGACCTATACCTGTCCCACTCTCAACCACTTAGCCTACTGCATAGAAACACCACCACATCTGCTAAATTTCACAACCCTGTTACACCCTTTTGTACAGGATGCCATTTAAATATTTTTATTAAAGCTAATGTTAAAAAATTATATAATGCATAGGTTGGGGGGAAAAAAAGTGTCTGTACATCTGGGTATAGTGCTTAGATTATCCACAAATATAAAGTTTGTTTTAAAACTCATAAGATACATGTAGTGCATAATCAGCAATAACCCACATTTAGGGAATAAATTTAAGAATACAGTTTAGTTATTAGCATCCAAGTATTTAGGTACACTACTCATGAAAAGTTATATAGAGAGTTGGTTGTAGAAAGCAAATATAGCAATGAGTGAAGATTGCCCCTTAGTATTTGAGCATTTAGGGTAGGTTATCCATTTAGAAAATACTATACTCCCACATACTATCATTAAACGGATGGACCTCTCACATCCTACTTCGCTGCTGACAATCCCGATGAGAAGAAAACCCCTGTGCACTGCTAGTGACAACCTTCAGATCTCATTGCTGAAGTGAGTCTAGACATGATACATATGCACCGCTTTCTTTTGATCACATACTGATGTGAGAAGGCAATTGGGTCAAGAAGAAAGGTTCAGGCTCTCTGAGAGGCAGGGTCCCCAGATCTCTTATCACACCTCAGCCAACCTGCTCAATCTAATCCATCCACCATTCAATACAGCTAGCTATATTTAACACAATGAATACAACAGCAGGTGATGCATATAATTCCCAGGAGATTATTGCCTGTTCCACGGAGACAGAGTTAAGGTTGCATTTGTGCACACCTTAACTCTGTATTTCCTGGTTTTCAATCAGTTTTGCTGTACTTGACATTGCAGACGGGCACAAGACGATACAAGGCAACCTTAACTCTGACTTAATGAAGCTTTTTGCCAGTGAATATTCAAAACAGGCAGCAAAACAAATATCTGTTATGACAGGACTAGTTTCTAGGAGTTAAAATCAATTATACTAAACCTCTCTCTGTGTAGATTTCTAAAATTGTGTTACATTCCACTACATACTGGACCTGAAAGACTGCAGACTTCCAAGAGCAATTTACTCAAGAGATAGTCCAGGATTAGGAAATCAGTAAAGAGGGACATTCATATAGAAACAAGGGGTAATATCCTGGCCTCATTAAAGTCAACGGCAAAAGATGCATTGAGTTCAGTAAGTCCAGGATTTCACCCACTGTTAATTGTCTCAGATGAAATGTCAATGCCATTAGAGGTGATAATTGTATTTTCTGTTTGCAGTGATGGTCTCAGGATATTAAGAGACAAGGTGGGTGAGATAATATCTTTTATTGAACCAACTTCTGTTGGTGAGAGAGACAAGCTAGGGCTCTTCTTAGGTGTGGTATTTCTGTTATTCCAAGACCAAACCGTAAAGAAAAAGCTCTCGTGGCTAACAAAGCCCAGGACTGGGATTCAGGAGATACAAATTATTCCCAGTTCTGTTGCAGATTATGAGCAACAATGGACCAGTCACTAACTTCTCTATGGCTCATTTTCCTCCATACATAAAATGGGGATATCTACCTATAGGATAGAGGCTTATTTTATTAGCCTTCGTAAAGTAGTTAAGGTCATCTGATGAAAGGCAGTAAAAGGGAAAAACCCAAGTACAGTTATCTGGTATCTTATTTAAAAATATCCTCATCTTAAAGATGAGCTGAACTGATAGAGATAAACCAAAATATATAGTACTAGCTGGATGCCCTACAGAGTAATTCATATTATCTTTACAACCAACTCGCTCACTATAATTGATAAAAAGTTTTACCCAATCCTCCCTTTGAAAACATTAACATTTTTTATAGAATTACTGCCTGCTGATAATGGAAATAGTAGGAAGAAATCCTAAATCAAATGACAAATTATTTAGAGTTTACAGGTACAGTAAAAAAAAATATTTTTAATGTTACCCACATTCACCAGGAATTTGTTAAATAGCTGATCTGGGACTAGAATCTGATAATTTCTGCTACTACTGTGAAAAGAATAAGGGAAGAAGAGGAAGCACAATGAAGACCTGAACACGATTAACCTCTACTATGTATACTGTAGTAGTGCCTAGAGCCTTACACCAGATCAGAACCCTAGAGCCAAATATACAGGATATACAAATATACAGGAAAAGATAGCCCCCTACCTCAAAACCAGCATGGACAGAAAGGTTTGATAAGGCCATGAAAATAATTTGAATAAAGTTCACTCAAGAGTTGACAGATCTACACTCGTGGTTGTTTGAGATTCTAAATTAAGAACTTGCTTTGTTTTCTCAAAAGCTAGTAGCGCAATATCAGTTTACATTCAGATGGTTATTGCAATTTTATATATATATATATATATATTTAAGTGAAAGCTTAAGTTCTGCAAAAATTGATTGTCTACATCCCTCTGCTCACTGGAGATAGCTTCCTACTTGCCAATAACTTTTCACGTTGCTTTTTCAAGCCTTTATTAGCACCCCAACATTATGTGCTGAAAATGTTATGTAACAAGAATTAGATGTTGGGTGATTCATAAAGGCACTGTAAAATATGCCTTAAAATATAATAGAAAAAAATCTACATTAAAACACACTGAAGAACTGCTGACATTTAAATCAAATTCTGAATGTGCACACATTGGAGAAATAAAAGCATGTACTGTTGAAAAACAGCTAAGACAAACTGTAGGTAAATGTAATATAACTACAAGTGTTCAATAGCAATAGTTGCAAGAAAACTGGGTCTTGAGTTATTTGAAATTTCCTATTATTTTGTTTTTGGATATATTTGCAGTTTAAAGTCTACACATGTAAGATCTCAAATTGATATTCTAAAAAGCATTTTACATTAAAAAAGTGAAATAAAGCACTGGCCTTCCAGTAGTTACAGTACTTGGGCTGGAGCGATTCAAGAACTGTAAACAGAGAATCTAGAACTAGCAAGCTGAATTTTACTTTTAGGACAGCAAGTCCCCTTTTTCTGATTAATGCCCTTAGCAACATCCTTATGCAGATGGGGCAGAAACTCCTACCAATGTGTTGTGAAGAAAAATTACATCTACAACAGTGCTAATATTCTCAGCATCAGCAGTTTTGATAGTTCATTTCAACAACACTGGCTAAGAATGAAAAAGATTCTGGATATTCAAATGTGTTTTGAAACTGTGTTTATATTGTACAGTGCAGTATCTAACATTTTCCTACTTTCACTTGAGGTGAAAGTAAAGCATGACAAGCTTTATTTAGAACATTATTTCTACTCTGTTCAAGGGACATCTCTTGCCTCTATTATTAACTTGTGACATCAAGAAAAGATGGAATCTTACAATTGCACACAACACAGAGAGCCATGTTTTACGAAAAAATTTCTGTAGTGTAGAACCCTTCAACAGACCATATTAGAAGTGTTAAATATAGCACACAGAAAATTAAGATAGTGACCTGCACTGCCATCTTGATTATCAGTGGTTTCTTCATCAGTTCTTTGCTCTCTCTTTTGCTTTCCTCGAGCATACATATCAAGATTTTCCTAATTACGGGACGGGGGGGAAGAAAAATCATTGACAGTTATATAACAAATTTGCACATGCTCCAGTCCCTGCAGCATGAACATCATATATACAGCAAATTTATCAAGGTATTGCACATGCATAAAAGGCTAAATTAAAGCGTGGTTGTACTTAGCAGAAGAACTAAAAGTGGCATTGGAAGGCCAAGTTTATTGTCTCTTAATATTCACATCAAGTATACTCCATTTCAGTTTATGTAACAAATTAAACCCAATCAGAAAACTATAAAATATTTATTCTGCTCAATATTAGGTAAAGTAATCCAAGAATTAGAAAAGGCCCATCTATTTAAAGTCAGTTCACTATCCGCTTTGCCTCGGTCTTCTCAGTTAGCACCTTCGTTCACGGACAATAAAATTACGAAGGAGGATAATTAGCACCCTGAAAGAACTTCCAGCACCAGTGAAAAAAGTGTGGCGCTGCACACGTAAGCTGCAAGTTCCTCAACTGTATGTAATCTACCTTTAAGAGACTATTTGAGGTGGTAACATATCAAGATGTAGCTGGCAAAGAGGAACTGAACACACACACACACACACACACACACACACACACACACACACACTTAAAGCTATAAACTTTCCAGACCAGCACCATCCTCTATGTTTGCTTTAACCAGCAAAATAGGATAGAAACTGACAGCGGAGGATCAAAGCTACAACCGGTAAACATATTGGTTGTGCTTATTCATTGGAAGCCTGATCAGCTAGCAATCCTTTTCCAGATTTCAGTTAGGTTTATTTTCTTTTAGTTTTTAATAAGAATTAAAGTATTAAAAGACTGAAACAATTGTTAGTAAATATAAAATAGCCTTATTACCACTTTTGAATGGCTATCCAGAAGTTAGAATATAAAAATACTGGCTTATGGCTAACATCTCACTGTGATAACATTATATTCTCTACCCCTCTCAATATAGCTAATATGAAATGCTAATATGAAAATATTAAAAATAAAATACAAATGAACAAGTCATTTGGCTGTTTAAAAGACAGCCTCCTTATGAATCTAGAGAAACATTATGAGTGCATATTTACTTCCTCGGCATCATTGAACACCCCAAGGTCTTCCAAGTCTATCATTCGGCGTCTACGCATCTTCTTCATGTCATCCATTTTTTGTAATACTGCTTCTGCAGTGCTGATATAAAAAGTGTGACACATATGTGAGTTCAGACAGTAGGAAAAAATGTGCATCAGTTAGCATGAAATTTCAATATGATGTGCTTAAATTGACACTGTTAAACTGATGCATAATCAGTTTTTAAAAAATAAGTTTTAAAAAAGTTTCGTTGTTTTTATTTTTATTTTTTTTTAAATAAAAGATGTTTCTTTCCTCTATTGCTGTGTGAAAAACCCACCTAAATTGGGGGGGGGGGGGGGGGGAAGAGGTCGGGCCAACAACAAACCAACCAACCCTATAGAGAAATATTTTTCTAATGTCTTACAGTTATAGTAGTTTTTAGTGCTAATTATTCACTTAGTACTATCACAAGTTTCAGTTGGAAGCATTATTTTAAATTGACAGTGTCACTTTAAGAGACAACGGGACAAAATGTTTACTCACCCTTAACTGTACTTCTAGACTAGTATTTTTTTCCATAGTTTAGATTACTAGACATGCACCCTATTGCTGTTGAGCTTTGAGAATCGTCAGGAAAGCAATGCCCACTGGGGCTACACAAGTGCCATCCTATAGCACCAAACATTCACAGGCTATAAAAGGAAGAAAACTCCAGCACTAATATGGTCACTAAGTCAACCAATTCTTTCCTCAGTCAAAAGAGAAACTCCATCACTTAAGCCCCCCCCAACTTGTACATATGTGGCATGAGATCTATTTAGTACATAAGGAACTCCTGACACCAAAGAAGTTGCTTCACCAGGGGTAGGCAACCTATGGCACGCGTGCCGAAGGCAGCACATGAGCGGATTTTCAGTGGCACTCACAGTGCCCGGCTCCTGGCCACTGGTCCGGGGGGCTCTGCATTTTAATTTAATTTTAAATGAAGCTTCTTAAACATTTTTAAAACCTTATTTACTTTACATACAATAGTTTAGTTATGTATTAGAGACTTACAGAACGAGACGGTCTAAAAAACGTTAAAATGTATTACTGGCACGCGAAACCTTAAATTAGAGTGAATAAATGAAGACTTGGCACACCACTTCTGAAAGGCTGCCGACCCCTGTGCTACACCAATCCATTACTGTCTGGATGTATGCTTCTTCAATGCCTAAGATGGTGACAGAAACACTAGGGTCCCAGAATCAACCAACTCCTTTCTTGGAATGGTTTATTCCTAAATCAGAACAGATGCAAGCCAGAATTTGGTGTTTTGGTACCATGCAACTGGCTTCCTCATAACTGGCATTTTCTGAGCTGAAGAGGATAGCGAAACCAGTTGTAGATTGCAAAGTGGACTGGGGCCCTGGCTCATAAGACAAGCCTAGAGCCACCTCACCCTGTAAGCAAGGGTTAGAACAGTGATCCCCAAACTTGTCATGTTGCACCCCCTCCTTACCCATGTCCGAATGCACCCTCCTCTGGAGCTGGGGTCGGGAACCGGGGCCTGGAGCAGGGCCACGGCTCCTGGGGTTGAGGGTGTGAAAAGGAGGGCATGCAGACAGGGTAAGCGGGCCGAGGCGGGGCAGAGGCCACAGCCAGGGGCCAGGGCAGAGCTGGGGACAGAACGGGGCTCCCTTCTTGCACCCCCAAGGAGGCTAGCCCAAGCCTGCCATGCCCCCCACCCAAACGTTCCTCCATGACCGTTAAGGGGTGCACCCCACAGTTTGGGAACCACTGGCTTAGAGGTATACAGGCTTTACATCAAGCAACAATCCAGGAACAGGGTCTAGCAAATTAAACAAGAGATATATGCATCAGATTCTAAGGACATAAAACACACCTTTGAACTCAGTCTTGGTAGACCTTTGAAGACTGGATTAGTCATAACTCTCCAGGGGCTAAAACCAGGGTCAAATTGGCCTAGCTGCACAACAGCGAAGACTAATAAAATTTTAAATTAAAACGTCTAAAAATACTAACAACTACAGGTCAAGAAAAAAGTTATCCCAACAGGGAAGAAAGGCCCTACCATTTACAATTGACTAGAGGCAGGAAGGAAACGATGTGGCTGGGACCACATGGTCCTTTTATAAGCTTGATTCTGAACACTTGGTGCTGTGAGCAGGTGGTTGTGCAGTCCAATAGGTACTGCATTATAGAAGGCTCCTGGAACTCAGCAGCGCCGTAGGAACATATATAAAGAATTTTCATAGTTAATTTATTTTTGGCAAACTTTTTTAATATGTTTAGCCCACATGGTACTCAAGAACATGCTTATGAGTAAGCGTTTAGGAACCATTTTACCATCTTTGAAGGACAGAAAAACACTTACTTCGTTATAAGTTTGTCAAACAAAACGGATTGGTTTGTAGTACTATAACGGCTTCGCCTGATTCTGCAACTGCGACGCACCTCCACATCCCCACTCTCTCCATGGACTTGTTCAGCAGCTTTCACATCAGCTCTGGTTTTCAAAGATCTAGTGACTGGAATTACTAGGTTTATAAATATACAATATTAAGAACATTTTCCCTCAAATATGGAGAAAAGAAATCTTGCAAAAATCCACCAGTGTTGGACGTTAGTTTAAATACATGATTGTTACTGTTATCACTTTTAATTTAAAGTTGAAAGTACTTCTACACATTATATTCTATACTTAAAATCACTCAGATACAAATTATATCTCTAACAGATTTTAAAAAAACGTAACCAGCCAGGATAAGTATGCAGTTTATATTCTAGGTAAGAGCAAACTGGAATAATTATTCCTATCTTGCAAAACACAACCGTGCACGATTTTAGTCTACATATTCTACTTTTAAGATGTTTTCCTTCACTGATTTATACAAAGTTGTATCATACAAATATTTATATAAATACCGGAGGCAAGCTATTCACAAGTAACTAGCTATTTTGAGTACTCAAAGATTTACACACCCAACTTGACAGATTAAAAGGGATCAGATATACAGAGGGTCAATGTTCATGCTTTCAGGAGATTTAATTTGTCTAAAGTTGCGCACCCACATACAGACATACTCAAAATCTCAAGACACTTTTGAAAAACCTGACAAACATTTATACATGGCATCATTAACCTCACACTAAAAAGGCATGTTTTTAAAATAGTCACACACACACACACACACACACACACACACACACACACACACACAC